CAATAGGTGGGGCAAACAGGCCTTAAATCATGTGTATTCTCAAGATAGTCACCAAGTTATTCTGAGATGACAGATGAGGGCAGACAAAGCTTTTGTGCCTACCAGGTGGAGGTAAATTAAGCTAGGGCAAGAAGGAACAAGATGGAGAGCAACAGTGCAGGGCCAGGTTGCTCATTCCCAGCTTCATTTCTTTAAGTTTTTAAATGGCCACCTGATTTAAGTTAAATCTCATAAATTCTGGCATAAAATTCTATAGTATAACATGAGTCATTTTAAGCAAAATCAGAGTTATTAGCTTATTGCATGACCCTAATCAATACCCTCTGGTTTACTTCGTAAAACAGCAGCAAACTCATAAATCAAGCGCTTTGCTTTGTATTTTAAATTAAACTGAGACAATATGGTTGGGAACTTTCCTAAACGAATGTATTTACAAAATTTAAAATTTCAAACTGTGTTAAATCAAATTTTTAATAGGAGAAAAAATATTTTTTAAAGAAATTATATGCATAGGTCAATGTAAAGGATTCTGTCACACTTTTTGAAAGTTTAATTCTTTGTCACTCATGCAGCATTCTTCCTAAGAATAGAATACTAATAATTTCTGCCTGCAGAGAATCATGAAGACTTGGTAGTTAATGAAAACTAACCATGAGAAAGAACAAAAGCCAACACGTTTCTGCAATCTAATTATCTTAGCATGATTAGCTGTTTTCTAGATTTAGTGCCTAAATCCTTTTTTTCCAAACTTAAATTTCATAGTCTTTTTGATTACACAAATATGATAGTCTATCATATATGTGAACTGGAGAGAGCACATAAGAAATCATTAAATTCACCTGGATTTCTTTGTTTCTTTTTAACTTCATCTCCACCCCCTAAGTTTTGAATGCAAATTAAAAATACTGCTTCTCTGCAGACAATCACACCATCACTGTTTCTTCCTTCTCACTAAAATTCAATGTCTAAGATGTGTCTAAATAAAAACAAAGAAATCACACATTTGAAGATAATTAGTGGTTTTGCTTGAGAAAGATTTATCCATTCTCAAGACATTTATCTATGTCCATAGCAATCAGTGTTAATCATTTGGGTATATCCAAACACTTGACTGAGGTTCACATTTTGCCTCTCAAAAGTATTAGTTCATAATTCATTAAATTTGTTTAAGCCTCAGGGAGCAAGAGAGCAAATAGCCCAAGATACTTTCTTCTTGACCACTAATGTAAGTATGGTTAAAGCCAAAGAAAAGGCCAGTAAATGAGAAAAATGCAAATGTTCATCATATTCCATTGCTGTTTTGACACAGCAATTAGATTTGTGCAGAACAGCAAGATTGTTCCAATTCTATTCTCCCAAACATAAGTCTTAAAAAAAGGAGGTTACATTTGTGACTGTAGCTCGTGGAGCATCCAATCTGGCATCCTGAAAATCCATATGTAAGCCACACTTATATCTTAAACCTGTCAAACAAATAAATGTACAGAAGCAGTAATTTATGTACTTTATAGACTGTTTTGCCCTTTTAGAGCAAAAGCCTAATTTTCAAGTGTTGCTATTTTAACTTCTGGCAGTGCCTGGGAGATAACTGAGGTTCAAAATGTGAATTTTACAAGTAAAATGTGATTCAAAAATTGATTTACCCTGTTCTCACTACATGTGAGACAGAGAAGAGAAATGCTGGGTGTTTGTGAGCTTTAGGCAAGGGGAAACATATTGCTAAGTACAGAAGCCACGCAAAACTTTGCGGGTTTTCAGTTTAGAAGTGAACTTGAGCCTTTCCCAGTTCAAGTTCTGTTTAGGGCCGGCAAAACATGACTTTCTGATTCAAAGAAATAAGGCTTAAAAAGGCTTATAAAACAGGCTCACAGGCTTCTTGTACATCAAATAGCTCTTACACAATGGCATTTAGATGATTTAAGTGTAAATGAATCAAAGACATATGGATTGCATTTCCCTTGAAATACGCATGGGTTTTAAAATGAAGGGAAAACACACTTGCCAAAATCCTTTTTGGGTTGTACAGCATCAAAAACATTTGGAAAATGACTTTAAATGTTTGGAAGAACCCCAGACATCGGGTTCAGCCACCCCTGGAGATTAAATCAGTGTCCTTCATCCACTGATAACTAGTTCCCTGTTTTGCAAAGACATTTCTTAAAAATGTCAAGTCCCAAACCTGACACTCCTGAAAACTGACTTTCTTAATGCTTGAATTGCTAATTCAATGATAGGATCTTATTATGTAGTCTTCCCCAGAGATCAGGAATCCATTTTGTGTTAGTTAAGCCACCAGAAGTACATTTCAATTTTACCCAATTTTTCAAGTGTGGTTAAAAATGTAAGTTCTCTCTGTCCTGGAGGTAAAAATTAATGTTTCTAGGGAGCCAAAAGGAAATCGAGTTTTCAAGTTGAATGAAAGAACTAAATGATCAGAAGATAAAAATGGAAAACTTGTTTGTTGTAAATGTATTCAGGCAGCAGTTCTGACATCACATAGCTGTTAGCATACTTATTTAAGAAAAAGAAAAGGAAGAAAGGAAGGGAGGAAAGAAAAGGAAGAAGAGAGGGATGAAAGAAGGAAGGAAAGGAGAAAGAATGGAAAAACAACTGGGTGGTAAAGTACCTTTGGAACCAAAAAATGATTGAATGAAGTGCAAAAATAAATTAGATTTAACAGAAATAGGCAGTTTCATGAAAGTAGCTAGAGAGCAATAAGACAAAAACACCAATTACAACAAATTCAAACAGACCAATGCATAGGAAGGTGACATGGTGACGTGAATGAAAAAATGAGTTGGCGTAAGTGATGAACAAGGCATCAAAAGGAACTAGAGAAGGGGTGCTATAATGTTAAAAGAAAATGAATTAAATGTTGAAACCGAGAACAAAGAAAAATCACAAGACGATACCTAAACTGAGAGAAAGGCTACAAAGGCACTTAGTAACTGAGCTGAGGGGAGTATAAGAAGAGATCATATAAAACAAGTGAAGGGCTGTTATTTAAGTCTGTGCAGCCAAACAGCTTCTATTAAAAAGACTAGATCAGATTTTGCATGCACTTATGATGTGAGAGAAAACAGCTTTCAAAATTGTTTAATGACCTCCCGATAGAAAGGTTAACAGGATTATCACACAGTTCACTGGAGGATGGACAGCAACTCTCAGCATGTCCCTCACTTAACATGTGATTCCAATATTCTTCTTTACAGGGAGGTGCAAAATCATCGTGCTACTCAAAAGCATTAGTTGAAAAGTCAGGATGCTTTTAATGAGGGAAGTTCAACATAAAAGGGAAATGAGGAAGGGAAGAAAATGGGTACTATAAGCTGAGCTCTTTTAGCATCATTCTGCCCAACTAACTATGGGAGTGTTTGGGAAGGTTGAACCCTCTAGAAATTTTAGTTTGCTCTGGTCTCCTCACATCTGGAGATGTCTGCATCCTAGGTAACTACTGTAACATGCTTTGCTTCTGACATGGTACTGCTCCTCTGTTCTGCTCTCCAACCGTTTCTTGTTAAAAAGTTGGGAAGTATTCTCCACCTTCTCTTCTGTTACATAGACCACAAAGCAGTACTGCTTTGCATTGTCAGTGTGTTGTGGAGACTAATGAGAAGGGTCTTTACGACAGGTTGGCCTCTGCTAGTTGTGGCATTAGTACCAGCCAGTTGTGGGAGAGCAGTGATGGGAAAGGGAAGAAAGCAGTCCAGAAAATATTCTGAGCAATATTCATCAGTTGTTGAAGAACAAATCATACGTTTTCTGTTTGGACCACCCATTATTTTTGCCCTAGACTTAGATTCTCTTACTTCTGGGAAATTGTATTAATCAGGGTAATCAGTGCCAAGTCCTATAACAAAACAACCTAAAAATCTTAGGGACTTCAGGTTTTTCTTTTGGCAGCTTTCCATTCCATGATTCTGAAATCCCAATTCTTCCATCTTGTGGTGGAATTATTTTCTAGGGCCTCTGCAGAATTTTCTGCTGTATCATCTGTATTTAGCTGGCTGGCTAACAAAGAGTGAGGAAGATCACATGACACATTTTGTAGCCATGACTGTATGTGGTGAACATTACTTCCATGACAGGACCCCAGTCTTAACTGCAAATGATGCTGGGAAATGTAGTTTTCCTAAGTGCTCAGGAAGAAAAAGTGTGATTGGTGAATATTTAGCTAGTCTCTGCCATATTCACGAAGGGGCTTTTCCATCCCTAATGTAAATTAACCCTCAGTGGATCTGTCTTCCCAGCCTTTCTATAGTTCAGATATGTCTGAATTCAGAACACTATTTAATGTGGAAACTGAGAAAGGTTAAGGTATACATAGTTAATAAGTGACAGACCTGAAATGTAATTCAAATTTGCCTGAATCTCAAGTTATGTGCTGCCTTCAAATTTTATACTTCTGGAAGTGGCATCAGGAACAACATCAGATTGGGAGGAACTTGACTCCTCTGCACCCTTGGAGTCCTCTGAGATATCAGAACTTCAGTGGCATCAAAGGTTTGGTTCAGTTACTACTATAATTAAGGGAAGTTAAGGGTACTTCTCCTGAGGTTACAGAGGAAACTGAGATTGATATTGTCTTACAGTGGCAAGGAAGTGAAATCATTGGGAAATAGTCAACATCTCCTCCTCCAAGTTGGATACAGGAAGATAGCCATGTTAAATGGGCTCAGAAAATATCTACACCTCTTTTTCGCCTTTCTTCAGAAGGCTGAGGAAAAAGTTAAGGCCATTGAGAAGGAAAGACAAGATGGGGCCTGGATTTTAGCATCATGCTTACACTGTAGCTTTTCTTTTTTGGCAACTACATGGGTATGAATGTATTTTTAACCTCATAGAGCCTCAGTTTTCTTGTCAATGAAATGGGGATAGTGAAATGCAAAGTAGTATGAATTAAATAATTTACACTAGTACTATGCCTAAAAAATCAGAGGCATTGCAACTAAAGATTTCTCCATTTTTCTTTTTATTAACACTTTTTCTTTCATACCTAGGCCATCAAGGGGAGGCATGATGGTGGAAAGACAATTTTCCTGGATGCTATGAAAGTTCCATGAGACATAAAGGTAAATAAATAAATAATCAATTTTTTTATTTATCCATTTATTCTTTCAATAATTCATTCATTCTTTCACACACCTACCAATATCTACTCACTACTGACAAAACATCACAGTGGATAATAGAGAAATCTGAAATGGATTATGTGACCCCTGCTCTGAAGATCTGTGTCCTCTAGTGGAGTAGCAGGCATATGCAAAAGTCAAGGTAATTACAAGGTGAAATATGATAAATGACATATTTAAATTAGGTACTGTGGTAGTGCAGAAGAGGGAGACTAGAGCAGGGAATGTGAAAAGTTTAAGAGAAGCAGCAGCATTTATTTGGAACTTGAAGAGTGGTAGTTCTGGGATTTTGTTATAGGATAAATTTCAGAGCAATAATCTTATTGGCAGGAGGCAAGAGTAAGTCTTTTGAAGCTAGACCTGTATGGCATGAACACCAGTTTTCTTAGAATGGTTATTACAGATCAATAAAAATGACTCAAGTTTTAAAGATGCTTTTATTCACAGTCATAAAATTATAAAAATTAAAAAATTTTTATATAACGTTTCTTACTTCTTTATACATATTTACCAAAATGTTAATAATGGATACTATTTTAGTTAGTTTGCTTGAGGGCCTGTATTCTTTGGCTGCCATAACAAAATACTGTAGGCTGGGTGGTTTAAATGATGGAAATTTATTTTCTCACAGTTGTGGAAAATAGACATCTGAGGTCAGGGGCCAGCCTGGTCAGGTTCTGGTGAGGGATCTTTTCCTGGCTTACAGATGGCCACCATCTCACTGTGTTCTCACATGGCAGAAAGAAGACTCTGATATCTTTTTGTCTTCTCATTAGGGCACCAGACCTATGGGGTCAGAGACCTACCTTTATGACCTCATTCAACCTTAATCATCTTCTTTAAGTACCCATCTCCAAATATAGTCACATGGCAAGTTAGGGCTTCAACATATGAATGTAGGGTGAGGTGGGAACAACTCAGTCCATAGCAGGGGCTGATGGAATTCACCCCTTGGTGCTTTCTCTGCCTTGGAAACATAGGTATAATCCCATTTGAGGACAGATCAGAGGGGTAATAGGAACAGAATGATTTGCTTTACCCAATAATGCCTCAGAGTTGTCACAATTAAAAAGCTCAAATGTACAATGTCAGTATGATTCGTATACTGGAAAGGCAGTATCTATTTGAAATAGTAAACTAACTGACCTAGTCTTCCCTGTTAGAGAAACCTTTGAAGATTCTCATAAGACCAGATATAAATTTCAGAATTTTCATTGCTAGTTTGCTAGAAAATCCACACAAATTTTTACAGGCTAGCTGACATTGTTACAGCTGTGTTGGATTTTGTTTTTTCATGCAGGTAATAGGTATTTTTCATTCTATACAATTTAATCATGGTTAATGTCATGTTTTCCAAAATAAATGTATATGGCTTGTAGCAATAAAAATAATCACTCTTAGTTGACTAAGGAGTGTGAGGACATCTAAACGTTTGCAAGAAGTTGAGAGTTAATTTCAAAGAGATGCCATCTTTCAAAAGTAACTACCTATTTGGAAAAATGTTGCCAATAAAATATAATAAGAGGTTCTGATTCTTTTCAAGTTTAGTTCATGTATCATGACTATAATTGTGCTTCATAATTCACATTCAATTCTCACTTTACTAGTTTTGTATTTAATACAGATACATTGTGGTATAAAAAGATAATTTGAACTGGATAACTGTTGGTGTTAGACTGTTTATTTTTGTGGCCCCTCAGTCAGAACTATCCCTGGGGAAATCTTGGCCCTGGGGAAATCACATGGGGTGCTCTTTTTCCTCTACTTTGGCATTTTTATGCAACAGAAAGGATGCTCAGCTGAACAGCAATACTCTGGAAGGGAAACGAAATCACAGATGGGCCAAGTGCAGTTTAGGAGGTGTGTGTGGAAGGAGGAGCAGGGCCAAGACAGGCTTTGGCCCATAAGGGACTTTGTTAGAATTAGAAAAAAACATACCACTTCCCCTGGGTGGACACAGCCAGCCTCATGACAGGGTATGTGGTTTGGCAAAGAGAGTGGAATGCTGGACTTCAGCTCCCATTTGCCCCTTCAGGTGGGCAATTATCTGCAGTGGTTTGGGTCAGAGCCAAATTGAAGACTAAATGGAGAGAACAGCTCTTAACAGTATCATACCTTGCACATAATAAGTAGCTGGAAGATGATGAGTATGAGTGAATAATTTAATCATGATTCTATTTGAACAGTACTCAATTCTTTGTAGAAGATGATATTCCAGATTGAGCTTACAAGTCTAGATTCTGAAGCTTTTCTGATAATCTGAAGAAAAGTGTTTATGAGCAGTGTGGTCAATTTGTAAAATTTTCCTCTTGAGTAAGATGAATGATAGTCTCAGAAAAAAAATAAAGAAGGATTTGTGTTATTTAGTCCATTTTCTGATCTGTCCAGGTAAATTTGAATATGGGATTATCTACATTTTTGTGTGAAATAAAATGATATTTTCCCTTTCTCAAGTTAGTTCAACACAATTTTATGTAACATCTCCTGAGAGGAGAGTGCTGTGCAAAGCCAGAGGCTGAGATGATGAGTGATAAAGCCTTTCCCCTTAGTGTTCCTTTACAGCTATGAGAGGGATTGAAATATATGCTCAAGGGACAACACAATGGTTTCCTCTTCAGGTCCAAGACAAGATACATAATTTTTAGGGCTCCAGTGCAAAATGATAAGATGGGTCCTGGCATGGTACAGAAGTCAGTCTCCCCTTCCCTTTGGCTACTGTCCCTATCCTTGGTGCAAAGGTAACCTCTAAGGGATCACAGCCTCTGGACTGGACCATGCTCAGTTCCTGGATCTAGGATAGGCAAGAAGTACTTTCCCAATTCCTAAACAAAGCCAGGGCACTGTCAGCCCAAGGGAGGGACAGATATCCATCTACTCACCCTGAGATGCCACAGGCACCAGCATCTCACTCACACAAAGATCCCATTCTAAGGGAATCAAAACAGATATAATTTTTAAAGTTGGCCTTAAAGACTCTCATTTCAACAGTTCTAGAAGAAAACAAAAGGCAATATAGGCAGAGATTGCTCCCTGAGGAAAAAGTATAAATGTGAAAATCCAGTCTTGTGTAGGGATTGCTGTTCAACAGAGGGCTCTGCTGATTTGGGGATAGCTGGAGATAAGTATAGGATATTTCTTCACTCAGTAATCATTTACTAAGTGCTGACTAGGTCTCAGGCCTTGTGTTAAGTGCTGCTCGTGTAATATTAAGCAAAATAAGATATGTTCCTTACCTTCATGAAACTTAGAAGCTCATGGAAAAATTAAGGTCATGTTGAGGAGGTTCTAGAATGTCCTTTACATTCAGGGTTTCTCTTTTGACCTGAAAATCCCTCATGTTAGAAACATTTGTCTTTTTTCAAATGTTGTAGAAGTTGCCAAATGTGGGCAACTTCCACCACTGCCATCCCTAAATTTAAATGATTTATTTTTCTACATTGTCTTTACTACTATGTGTTCCTATCACTCTAATGCTGAAGTCTAATATATTTTAAACTTCTTTCCACTGTTTGCTAGTAATAGTGAAGACAGGAGTATGTTACTGAGGATGACTTTGCCAGAAGGTCACTTATAGTTTGATTGCTTGGAATGCAAAGCATATTACCCACTGTTTAACATCACTCACCAGTCCCTAGAAACATATTTAGTCCATATGTACCTGCAGTAAGTTCTATCAAATGTGACTACCACATGAGAGAATGATTCTAAAAGAAAACCCACCAAAGAAATTCTGAGAAAATACGATTTGTGATTTACCAGAAACAGATCTTTCCTGCTGTAACAGGAAAGAGTTGTCCTTTGGTCATTTCCCGCAATAGGTCAGTCCTGCTCTCTAAGGTGAAGAATGGGTGCTAAGATAACCCTGAGGCTTGGATGTGGAAGGAATGAAGTACAAAAGTGGAGACACATGAGGCAGCAGAGTTGAGGCAGGTCTGGTTTGGCATGGGTGGCGGAAAGGGATATAGTAGTGGGTGACTATGGGCCACCAGAAGACAGGGGATACCTGAATGATGATAGACATGAAGACTGAGAAATTGAGAAGAGAGGATGACATTAGGAGGGAGGGGGCCAAATTGTTATTTCCCAACTTCACAGGAATTGTGGCAGTGCCAACGTTTTGCCCAGCTACTGAAAGCCATCCTGGAAACTGTCCAGGTAATAGGAGCAGAAAAGAACATAGGATTAGTGAGAAGAAATGAGGCTATGTTATGTGGAGTATATTATAGAATGTGTGCTCCACATGGGTAGAGAAAGTGTCTTGTTCATTGCTTCCTTCCTGGTGCTTAACCCAGTTCCTTGCACTCTGGAGGGGGTAAATATATGTATGTGTGTGTAAGTGTGTATTATATAATTAAGAAATAAGTGGGAAGACCTTTCTAAGTGGATGTGGAGTTTTAAAAAGTCAAATCCATGGGCTTTTTGCAGCTGATTAAGCTGCTCTGATGGTTATAAGTGAAGATTTTTGAAGAGTGTGGTTGTCTGAATTCAGGTGCCAACTGTCACCATCTCTGTAACAATGGGCAAGTTTTGGTGCCAGTTTCTTCTTTCATGAAATGTGGGCAATTACAGCATTTGCTTCATGGGATAAAAGTGAAGAGAGGATGAGATAATGCAAAGCATTTTGGGCCTAGCACATAGTGAGTGCTCAGTACATTGTAGATGTGATGATGAGGATGGTGACAACTTTGCTATTGAAAGCAATTCCCAGCTCTATAGACAGGTTTCAAGTTTTCCAAAGATAAGACCACACTCTGCCCTTGCCAAATCTGAAGGAAGAAGGGAATGATCTCTCCAAGAATCTTCTTTAGCCATCTTGGAAGGGTGTGTGTGGCCCCGAGTCTGGCAGGGACAGAGCTGAACAGAGCTGTTCACAGCAAATCTGTGATGATGATCTTCTCATCTGTCTTCTAAGCTGTAGGCGGCTCCTTCTTTGGGAAGCA